TCCGTTCACTAGGGATGTGGCCCAATAGGAGACACTCCACCGAGGTCAGAGAATGACTGGGAGGGCATATACTGACTGGGCCGCCTTTCATTTGGAGCTTGGGAAGGCTTGGGCCGAACATAGAGATCAAAATGTCCTCCCACATCAACCGGTGGATCAGTTCCTAGAGCCTGAGGAGGGTTACATTGATTGGTTTCACAGCAGGACTGTGAGACTGATCAGTAACCCTAACAACTACTTGGTGGTCCAACAAGACGGCGGCTATCAGCCAATGGCCGAGCGGGAAAAGTGTGACGTAAGTTCCTAAATTGTGAATTTTATTACTATTATTATTATTATTATTATTTATATTATTATTATTATTATATATTTTTTTTGGTGTCCATAACTCAATTGTTTGAATTTTATTTTCAGTATGGTGCCATGGGGGGGCTTATGACACATTACAAAGTGTTCAACACTTGTTGGATACAACCCATCCAAAATTGCAGGCTGCATGGCAGAAGAGCCAGAACATCCTCCACAATGGTATGACTGTTGGAGGCCAACATGTCATACAAGGGGCGTCGTCTAGTCAACTTCTTTCTCAAGAAGACTACGTCTCTTACCAGGCCACACAGTCACATCGGGCGAGGCATCGACCGTCTGGCAACATTGGTGGAGGTCGAAGACGCCGTGCCCGTGAACCCGCTGGCAACACTGCCCGTGAACCCACTGGTAACACTGCGTATGAGGACGACGAAGAAGGTGATAATTTTTTTTCATGAAAAAGTGTTTATTTTTTTAGTTTGTTTTTTGTTTTTTTTGTTCAGTCCAATTTCTAATTTGTTTAAAAAAATAATTACTCAGATCAAGAAGAAGAAGCTGCCACACCTATCCCGACTGCATCCTCGTCTTCTTCAAGACAAAGGCCTCCTAGGAAGGGGTCCCGACAGCGTAGACCTCCGGATACATATAATCCTTCCTAGTTAGTTTGTGTATTTTGTAGTTTGAACTTTGCAGACATTTGTTTTGTATTTAAAAACCGTATTTTGACCTTTTAAGTTTTATATTGTGTTTCTTGAATATTGCATTGTGGTTGATTGTTTTTTATATAATGTATGTTGAATTGATATATATATATATATATATGAGTTGGTTGAACAGGTGTATATTGGACAAGTTGGTTGTTTGAATATGTTTATATTATTATTATTTTTTTTAACCAAACACGTATTCTCGTAATACGTTTTATAAAGAAAATTGAAATAAAAACGTATTTGCACAATACGTTTAATATTTTCCGAAAATTAAAATTAACAAAAAAATATTTTTCAAAATTCTAAAATAAATTTTAATATAAAAACGTATTCGTAACATACGTTTTAAGCAAAAACGTATTATGTGTATACGTTTATAAAAGAAAACGTATTTTGTTAATACGTTTGTGTTTATCTTAATTAAGATTAATTATCTTAATTACGTTATTTTAGTAAAACGTATTCGCAGAATCCGTTTTACAAGCAAAAACGTATTCTGGTAATACGGTTTTATATAAAAAATGTATTCCAAGAATACGTGTGTTTGATTTTTGTCCACACAATTTTTTTATTTTTTATTTTTGTCCACTTTTTTTTTTATAAATAAATAATTGTTCCATGGTGCTTGTCTGCCGAGAGGGAGATGATTTTTTGGGGTGTTTGTCGAGAGAAAGAGAATTGAAAGCACGTTTGTTTATAGTTTTTTTTTTTTTTTTTTTTTTTT